GGCCACAGCGCCTGCAGACAAGGAAGCTCCCTGGAAGCCACCTGTGTCTGAGTTCTTGTGCCACTAGGGCTGGCCTGGGGCACCCGTCCACCCTTACTCCCATTTCTCAGTAGCCCTCCGTCCTCCCCTCCCAGCTCTGGGCCCAGGTGGAGCACCTTCCCTCCAGCCCCCGCAGGAGAACCTGCCCTCCGCTGTTCCCATCTCGTAAATCAGGCTCGGGGCCAGGCTGCTATGGCCAGAGCATGGTCTGCCCACATCCTTGGAACCACTTCCTCCCAGCCCCATATAAACTGCCACTGGGCCACCAAGTGTGGCTGACCCACGCTAAGGCCCCAGGGCTCAGAGAGGGTAAGGGAATTTTCCGAGGTCCCTGAGCAGCACTTCTGCAGTGGGTCTTGGGGTGGGCAGGGGACCCGGGGGCGGGCTGGAACCGGACCGAGTTCTGCGTGAGGGTGGACTTTGAAGAACAGAGGGGTGCACTGGAGTCAGCGTGAGCAGCTTCACACTGGCAGGGCTGCTGGGCTCAGACTCTGTTTTCCACAAACACAGATGGGCTGGGGAGGGTCAGAGGGAGGCCCCGGGTGGAATGTGGGTCAGTGCCGGCCGCCAGGTTCTGAAGACTCGCACTGGGCTGCACGGGCGGGGCCTCCAGCAAGCCGGGGTGTCTGTAACCCCCAAGCTGGGCAGCCTCAGGACCGACCTTTGCCTCCAGGAAAAGGGAGCTCAGTGGTCCCAGATGGGATGCTGGGTGTGAAGACTGGGCTTTGGCTCAGCCCCCAGAGCCTGTGGCCTTGGCGCAGAGTCAGCCCTGGGTCTAGATGAACAGGACATCTCCAGGCCAGGGGAGCGGGGTCCACACGGCCAGGTGGACTCTGAGTTGGAGGCTCTTGAGTAGTCACGGCTAACAGAGACCCCAAGACCCCCCTCTCACACTGCTGTCTTGGACAGCAGGCTGTGGGGCCCTTAGGCTCAGCCTCAGGCCTGATTTCCAGGGGTGGCTGCAGGGCTCTACGGGGCCAGGGTCCCCGATAGCCGCAGATGGGCAGGAAGTAGGGGGTGCTCCTAGTGGGCTGGGCCCCTGAGAGTGCCGAGTGAACTGAGGACATCGAGGGAGGTAGGAGGACCGGCAGGGTGCCCGGCGCCAGCACAGCATGACTGGGCCACATGGGGACCGTGGGGAGGCCACCTCCAGCAGGCCACACTTTCGAAGGAATCTGCTGTTCCTGTGGCCAGGCCAGAAACAATAGAGGATGGGGCTGGGGTGGACATCACAGCTCCGCTGTTCCCAGACCCCCGTCCACAGCCCAACCCACACATCTCCCCCGGAACCAAGCTTCTCTCGGTGCTGGGTGAACTAACTCTGGCCCTGCTGAACCTCGCTCAAAGCCACCTGTACCCCAGGGTTGCCCCCGTATCATGAGGACATGGACCCAGCCTTCTAGCTTGAATGGCCAGTGGCTCTAAACAGAGTAAGGGGCACCACTGGTAGAGTGACACACAACTCTCTGCCTCCAGCCTCAATGTCCCTCAGGGCCCTGAAGACAGCAAAGTTTCCTAGCTGGGATCTCAGACTGCCTGGGACCCTGGTGTGTACTGAGTCATGACATGGGGCTCAGCTGGAGTCCACCCTTAAGCTTCCCCGGGGAGATTCCCTAATGTTTCTATTTCTGGGGGAAGGAGAGAGGGTGAGGTGTCACCCTCTGACTAGAGATATTCTCGAAATATTGTGGACCGTACCTTTTGCCTGGCTGTTCCTTCCGCATCTGGGAAGCCTGGGTCACTGAAAATCTGGCCTGGGGCTGACCCTGACTGGATATTGTACCCCAGAACCTTCCTTTCCTCCTTACACTTCACATGTCCCAGTCCAGGGCAGAATGTTCTGCCAGAAGGTCCAGTAGGTCACAGGCTGGACATGCAGGCCCACAGTGCCTCAAAAGTGAGGCTTTAGTGCCCTCTGTTGGTCATTCCTTGAATGGCCACTCCTGGTCATGCTAGTCCAGTTCACATTGTTAGGCTGCCCCATCAAGTCAGCAGGCGGCTCCCCTCCCCATAAAGGGGACCTCCTTTCCCTCCTAACTTGGCTAGAGACTCAATCCAAGCACTGACCAGGGCCACCTTGTCCAGGGCTTAGGCATAAAGGGCTGCTCAGACCTCGGCTGGTCCCCCTTCTCTAGGCTAAAGCACTTCGTGTGGCACCAGGCCCTCCAGGGCAGGGGTCGACCCTGGCATCACTGCATCCACTCTTGTGGCCCTCAGGCCTGGAAAGCAGTGAGGACAGCAAATATTTACCACTGACCAGCAAAGGCAAATACTTCCCTGGGCCAGGCCGAGGTACCAGTGTGTCCGTGCCAGGAGCAAACGCAATCTAGGGAGTCACCTGGAGGCAGCTGCCCTGGTAGAATGTCTTAGGTGGGTCAGGGCATGTGCCATGCTGTGTGCACAAGAGGACCAGCTGTGCACAAGGGGACTCGCTGTCCCCTTGTGTAGCACCAGAACCAGAGTTGCTGCCAGGTGAATGAAGTGGGCCACTTCAGACTGGGCAGTGACACCCTGACTCTGCATACACCTGGAAGAGGCTGTGAGGGGTCCAGGGACACCAGGGCAACTGCTTACCCACTACACTGTCCCAGCTGGGGAATGCTCAGAGGGGCCCCATCCCCCAAGGCCCAGGCGACAGGCGCATCTGGATACTGCTCACTGCCACTTGGAGTGGTGGTAGCAAGTACAATCCAGGTTCCTAGGGCAGGCTGGGTTTCAGGAGATGGGGGACTGTCCAGGTTCCCAGAAGGGGCGGAGCGGTGGCGAAGCCTGTGAGGATTGCAGGGCTAGTTCTGTGGGCCAGACCTCTGTGGGGTGACCTGGATGCTCCAGGAAGCGTCCACACTCCCCAGTCAAACACCTGGAGGTCAGTAACCAGTTTGGCGAAGCTGGGAGACCTTGCTTGAGGCACCTCTGTCACTGCACACGGTGGCCACTTCTCCCAGCAGTGGAGACCCTGCCCACTCACAGGCCTCTGGCCTGCTGCCCCCATCTCTTCAAGAACATGGTGTTGGGAGCCAAGGCTAGGGTGGAAACAGTTTGGGGACAGGTGTCCTTTGTGTTGGGGGTAGGGTGAGTTTCTAGGAGGGAGAGGGTGGACATGCACCATGACAGTCACTTTGGGTTGAGCAGTGGCCTCCCTTTCTTGTAGACCTCAGGTCAGAGGTTCCCCCAGGAAAAGTTGCAGAAAGTTTGTCCCCCAGAAAGACAGTCTTGAGTTCCCCAGTACCAAGTAGAACCAGCCACAAAATGGACATCCACAAACCTGAGCTGACTCTGAGACCCCAAATGACTCCAAGTCCCTCTACCCCCAAACTACACCCCAAAAGGAGTGTGTGAGCAACTCGAGACACGCATCTACCTGTCACCCCTAGACAATCCTGCCCAATGGCTGCCTGGCAGGCATACAGACCCTGCTGCTCACTGCTTGGTCCCAGCTCTGGCCGCCCTGCCGGCAGTGAGCTCACATACCTCTACTCCAGCAGGGCGCCCCTGCTCTTGCTGTGCGAACAGGCCAGCGGGATGTTCCCATGAACGGATCCCAGCCTCCTCCTCTCTCTCCTCTTCCGGGTCCAGTGTCCGGCTGTCCACCTGCCTGCCCTGTCCTGGCCCCTCTCTAGGGGTGTGGCTTGCTGGGGGCCTGCCACATCTCTAGGTGGGGGTGCAGATGGGGCACGGACAGAGAGACCTGGGAGGGGTCCTCAGGGCAATGGTAAGGAGGCTGCCTGAGTGGCCAGGCCCCAGTAGGAGAGTCTCATCCAGCTCTAGTCCTGAGTGCTTTACAGCCCCTGGGCTCAGGCCCAGTCCCAGAACTGGCCACCCCAGCCCTGGCCAGGTGGCACTTTCACAGGAGACGCAGAATGGTTTGGCCTGAGTGGCAGACAGGCTGGCCAGACCTCATGGAGGCCAGGATTACCCAATGACTTTGCAGGTCGTGGTCAGCCATGGGAGGCTCTGGGCTCCTGTCTGCCCAGCAGATGGCACCTAGGCCGGGCCTCCAAAGACTTTCTGTGCTCAGCAGGCACAGTGGGAGAGGGTCTAGACTCAATGTGACCTCATCCTTGGGGCCTGGGGGCATTTCTGGAGGCAACTGCCAGTTCTCAGATAAAGGACCCTGGTGAACAGCCCTGAGTGACAGGAGGAAGAGGCTGAAGGACAATGGGGAGATCCTGGCCTCCGGGCTGTGGGCTCTGGCTCCTGTGAGCAGGTAAGGAATCTGTGAAGGGTGGGGCTTCTAGGTCTCACCCACTCTTCCAAGTCCTTCAGTCTGCGTCCTGCTCAAGAAGCTATCTAGCCTGACCTTCTTCTTTTGGGGCCCTAGTGGGCCCCCAAGGTCTCTGGGTGGGTCCAGGTTGGAGGTTAAGGCTACCACCGGCCCACTGAGAGGCAGGCGGCACCAAGGGTGGCCAGTCCTCTGCAGCCTCCTCATCTTTCTCGGTGCCCACCCCAGCAGGACCCGCAGCCCCAGCCCAGCTTCTTCCCTCCGTGGAGACTCATTTGACATATGTTGAAAACAGCCTGGGAGGACCAGAGTGGGGCACTTGCTGGAATGTTCTGGTCTTCTTGCCTCCTGCCTCTGCTCCACAAGCTTGATGGCCTTGAGGGCCCAGGATTTTGAAGCAAGAAGTCAGCTCCCAGCTGCCCATCACTCCCACCTACCAGAGACCCATGGCCCCTCTCTCTGTCCATCTGGAAGCAACAGTGTGGACTGAGGTCCTTCCAGCACCCCAGGTTGGAAACACTTGTCAGCTGGGGGAGGGTGCCACCTGGGCCTTGGGCCTGGGCCAGTGTGGACACCTGTGCATGCCCACGGAAGAGTAAGGAAGATGCTCAGGGGTGTGTTAGAGGTGCACAGAGCATAGAGAGGGGGTCTTGCAATGAACCTGGATGATAGGCTGGCATGCATGTGCCCCCTTGAGTCAGCCCCTCCCCCTCCATGACACACAGACCATTCAATGGGGCTCATTCAAGGGGTTTATTGGTTGCCAGGGGAGAGTGGGAGGCCAGGTTCAAGGCAGGTGTCTAGTTGCAGTAGCTCTGCAGCTGGTGGCGTGTGCAGGTGCCAGTACAGCACTGATCCACAATGCCACGCTTCTGTAGTGCCATCTCCAGTGCCAAGGGCTGTAGTCCACCTGCCCCCAGGCCCATGCCCAGTTCTGTCTGCTCCACTGCAGGGTGAGGTGCCAGAATACAGGAGCAGCAGCAGTGGGGAGAGAGACAGGGGGAGATGCTGTCAGGAGCAGCAGAATGCCTGCGCACTGGCCCCACACTACCACCCTCTCACTGCATCTCCCAGGGAGCTGGTCCAGGTGACAGAGGCTGCCATGCTGGGCACACAGAGCGCTGGAGACCCACACCTCCCACGTGGCAGAGCTTGGAGCTCCATGGAGCATTTGTCCAGAGGCAGGGAGGAAGGAGGGATGGGGCGCCCCATGAATGGCCCCCAGGCTACCCTAAGGCTATCAACACCAAGATGCAATCTGCATAATAAAATTGGTGCCCAGGAGCTACTGTTGCCATGAGGCCAGGGCAGCTATTCGAAGGCAAGTGGAGGGAAGAGTCCAGCTGTGCTCAGAAGCCACAGCTGAAGGGTGCAGCCTGCTCACCCCCTCACCCTCAAAGCAGCTATAGGAAGCCACTCTCTTTAGCAAATGACCAAGAGAGCCGCCTCCCTTTTCAACAAACCCATCGACTCTCCTTGGAATTAGCTTCCTGCTTACTTATGCCCCTGCCAGGCTGGGGGTACTGGGCACGGGAAACAGCAAGGGATGGCAGGTAGGGGCTCACCCTGTGGGTCCTCTAGCTCCCGACGGTCCTTGGGTATATAGAAGAAGCCATCATCCTGACACACTGAATACAATGTCTCCACTAAGTTGGAGCCGCACAGATGCCGGCTGACAAAGGCCTGACCAGTGTTGGGCCCCCAGAGGGCCAGCAGGGCCAGCACGGTGAGGAGATGCATCCACAGAGCCATGATGAAAGGATGATGACCTGATGGAGAGACAGAGTAACAGCCAAAACCCCCAATACAAGGAAGAATCCCATGTCCTGTCCCAGCCAACCCAGAGCCCCCAGCCTCTCAGCCCCAATCTAGCACGGAGGACACAGACCTGTGTGCTGACCACCTCAGAATACAGCTGGCCCAGCAGCACTGGGGGCTCTTAGGTCCTTGTGGACTTTATATAGCCCTGAGCCCATCTTCCCAAACTCTGCCACCAGGCCCATTAGGGACCTGGGGGTGGTGGCATCAGCAGATGGCCAGGGGGCTGAGGTTGCAATTTCTGGATCATTTCCCTGGTGCTGGGTCTGCAGGAAGAGCTCCTTGGGCGTCAGCACCTCTGCTTGGGCCCTGGGGTCATTAGTGTTAATGAGGGACCCGAGGGCAGGAGTTCGCCCGGCTCACAGCTGGGGGCCAAGGTCTCCAGGAGAGCAGAGCCTACCCCAGGCTTGGCTTGGCTGAGCATTTTCCACATTAATCAGGGAGATCTGGGAGCTGGGCATATGTGTATGTGTAGGGTGTCTTTGTATCTTTGTTCTGGGGGGCCCCATGGATGGCCAGGGTCATGGGGGTGAATGAGGGGAGTGTCCTGCCTATTGCCTGCTCATTGCTTACCCCACCCCAGGACTTCACCCCAGACAAGACTCCCCCAGCTTGCTCTGGGAGCTGAAGAAAGCACAGGCCAGGGAGAAGCAGAGTTTTGACCCTAAGAATCACCCCTGTTTCTTACTTTCCCCAGGCCCAGGCCATGCCTTCTCTTGTCTCCCTCTTTTCTTCCCTGAACCCCTGCCCCTCTCCCCCTTCAGGCCAGGGTGTCATCTGGCTGAGGCCCTGTGGCACACTGCATCCTTCTCCATGCACAGCCCTCCAGGACAGGTACCCGGAGGCCCAGGTCAATCCCCTGGGGGATGCATGGATTCTGAACCCCTCAGCCCCCATCCTTTCTTAGTGGCAGGGGTTGAACAAGGTAAGGTCATCCACAGGGGCCTCACACTCTACTAGGAGGGCTTGGAAGGGTTGGGGCATCCTGTGCCCACCTTCTGTCACTCTCTGCCACCTTGGCATTCATAGACACCCCCCACACACTGAAGACCCTGTGCCCCGTCTCAGGTTTCTTTCTTCTTTTCTCCTTTCTTCTTTCCTTTCTTCCTTCCTTCCTTCCTTCCTTCCTTCCTTCCTTCCTTCCTTCCTTTCCTTTTTTGTCTTTTTGAGACAGGGGCTAACTATGCAGTTCAGGCTGGCCTTAAACTCACTTTGTAGCACACTGGCCTTAAACTCACAGTGATCCTCCTGCCTCAGCCTCCTGAGTGCTGGGATTACAGACGTGCACCACCATACTCAACTAGCCTCGGGCTTCTGACAATTCCTGGTGGAGGCCTTGCCTGCCCCCCCTTGCCTCCTCTTCCTCTGCGTCACAGCAGCTCAGGCCTTGGCCACCCCAGGACTCTGAGGTGCTAAGCGGGCTTGGGGCAGATGAGGAAAGGACTGTGCAGGGAGGGGAGGTGAGCACAGGAGGACCCGGATGGGAAGATGGCAGGGGCCAGCAAGGCCTCAGGGAGTAGGGAGGATCAGGAGTCCTTGGCCGGGGTCTCAGCCTTCCTGGGGGTCTCAGTGAAGGCCATGGCTTTGCCTAGGGTCTGCAAATCCTCACCTAGGGATTCAGTAACACAGAGGGATCACACCCATAGTGTCCCAGGAGTTTAAAGCCCTTGTAAAATCTCAGCAGGGTTTAAAACATCCTCCCCAGAGGCAGTGTCAAAAACGGAAGGCAGTGGCCATTGTTAATCTATTATTATGATTTGAAACCCATATTATTTTCATTGTTCTGTTTAGTTTGGTTTTATTCTGTTTTGGTTTGTCTAATTTTATTATATTTGATGGCATTGACAACTATTTCAAAGACAACAAAATATATTGTGGTACCCATTTTTGATTGCCTATTAGCCTATTTTGAAGCCATGTATTGCTTTTATAGTTTGTTTTAACTGATTTTCTTCTATTTTGTTTTGATTGATTACACCACGTCAGATGGTATAGGCAGCTACTTTGAAGATAAGAAGATGCGTTATGGGCCTCATTGTGGTTTACTATGATCTTGTTTTGAAGCCCTGTATTGTTCCCATTGTTTTGTTTTTATTGGTTTTATTCTGTACTATTTTGTTTGATGTTATTATGCCTGATGGGTATGGGCAGTTCTTGTGAAGATAACAAGAGGTATTATGGTAGGAAAAAAAAAAAAAACACCCTCCTCCCCAGTGTCTCAAAAGAGATGGCAGCCTAACTCACCTCAGGGAAGCACATAAGAACCAGCCACTGTGACTTTAATCTTCATAAGCACCTCCAGTCCATCCTGATGGATTCTCATGTTTTGCACAGACTCCCTCAAGGGCCCAGCCCTATCTGACCCCTTCCTATTTTCCACCTAACTTAGCAGTCTGTAATCATTTGGAGGTGTTCTCGAGTAGCTCCTTGCAAGATGGCCACTATGCATTCCTGAAAAAATAATCTTTGCAATAGATTAATTATATAGGGAAGAAAAAGATGGAAAACTGCCAAAATGGGGACAGCCAGACGCAAGCCTCTCTCCATGAGTCAGAAGCATTTGCGGACATACTTCATGGGAAGAGAACCAGCCTCACCAGGAGGTGATCCCTGCCTGCAAACCAGTGCCATAAGAGGGCCGCTGCTGGAGTGGGGACAGCCACCCCCAACCTCTCTCTGTGAGTCAGGGTCATTCATGGACTGCAGAGGGAGAGAACCAGGCCTCACCAGGAAGTGATTCCCACTTGGAAGCCGTATCATTGTCACTGCTTTGATGGGTTGGGTTTTATGCTCTTTTGTTTTGTTTGAGTATGTTAAATCCAAGGGCATGAGCAGCTATTTACAAGATAGCAGGACATATTATGGTAGCCACTTTGGATTTACTATTGGCTTGTTTTGAAGTCCTTTATTGATTTCAATGTTTTGTTTTTATTGCTTCTATTCTATTGTGTTTTGTTCAATTTTTACTATGTCTGAAGGTATCTGCAGCTATTTTGAAGACAACAAAGATAACTATTCTTGATTTTGTAAAGTTTTGAAGTCTGTATTGTTTATATTGGTTTATTTTGATTGGTTTTATTCTGTTTTATTATCCTTGGCTTTATCTCTTACAATAAAAAAAGAGAGAGAGATAACAGCATAACCTTGTGTCTGGAGAGGGCTCCCAACTTCACGCAGATTGATGATTGATTCAGTTATTGATTTTTGGCATTACAGGAGATTGAACCTAGACCTTCACACTGAGTTACATCACCGGACTTTTTCTATCTTTCTTTCTTTCTTTCTTTCTTTCTTTCTTTCTTTCTTTCTTTCTTTCTTTCTTTCTTTCTTTTTCTTTCTTTCTTCTCCCTCCTTCCTTTCCTTTCTTCTTCCCTTTCCTCTTATTCATTCATCTCTCTTTTCTGCTTTGTTTTGTGTTGTTTTGACAGGGTCTCACTATGTAGCTCAGGCCTTGAACTATACTAACAGCTATCCTCCTGCCTTAGCCTCCCCAGTGCTGGGATTAGAGGCATGCCATCACTCCCAGTCATCAGTTCCTTCAGATCGTGTCTCTCTGTCTCTCCTTCTCTCTTTCTTTTTTCCTCTCCTCCTCCTTGCCTTCCTTTCTAACAGGGACTTGCTAAATTGTTGTTATGGCTTGTGTCTAGATGTCCCCCCAAACCTCATGGGGTCATAGGAGGATTTTTTTCAGAAGTGGCTGGATTAGGATGTGTGGTGCTTGGATTAAGAATGCCCCACCCTGGGTGTGGGTGGCACCACCCAAAGAGCAGGGGAAATACAAAGGCAGACCTGCTTACTGCTGCTGCTCTGCTTCTCTACTGCCTTCTGCCTGCCATGAACTTTTTCTGCTCTGAGATTCCCCTGTGCCAGGCCGCCATACTTGGGAGCTGGCCAACTATGGACCAAAACTTCTACAGACTGTGAGCCAAAATAAACCTTTCCTCCTTTCAGTGGGGTTGTTGGATATTTTGTTTCAGCAATGAGAAATGTAACTCAGAGTTGCCCACGCTGGGTTCAAACTTTTCCTGACTCGGCTTCCCAGAGTGCTGGGATTACAGGTGTGCACCACTATGCCCAGTTTACTGCAAGATTTAAGAAGACTCACACCATCCCCTAGGGTCTTAATGGGGCTCAGGGCCATCTCATAGATTCAGAGGAGGGGGGCTCTCTGCCTATCTCAGGGTCTTCCACAGTCTCAGAGAACCTGTGACCCTGCTCAGGACATTAATGGGGCTTAAGGTCTTCCTTAGGGTCTCATATGGCTTGGAGGTTTCTCTCAGCATCTCAGTTGTGGTCTGATCCTTTCTCAAGGTGTCAACAAGGGTCATGGCCTTTTTGAATGTCTCAGTGGGGCTTAAGATCTTTTCCAGGATCTCCATGACACAAGGATTTTCCTAGTGTCCCAACAGGGTTAAGCAGAAGTCAAGGGTCTCCAGGGGGCTTGGGGCCCCCATGGTCACAATGAGGGTCAATGTCTATTATGGTCTCATACTAACGGCCTCCATGCTCCTGATGTGTCTCACAGCTCTCCAGAAACAGTTCCTGGGGTGAAGGGACATGGGTACTGGGAGGTGATCAGGGAAGGACAGAGGTCAAGGAGGCCTAGGGACCTTGCCCAGAACTGGAGAGAGGTTTCCCAGTGTTATACTCAGAGCTTAGAGTCAGGGATCCTGCAGGTCTAGTAGGGCACCTGGAGCAAGGCCTTGTGGACTGGCTGGTGCACCACCCACCATAGGAAGCATGGAGCAGGAAGCCTGGCTTGAGCTCTGCAAGGCCAGAAGCAGGTTGGGAAGAATGCTGGCTGGTAGGGCCTAAAGAAGGCTGGGGTCCAGCTCAGGGCAACATCCAGGCCCCTTTAGGGAGCTGGGGTAGGAGGAAGTCTACCCTCTAGTGCCCCACTTGCTTTCTGAGAGACAGAGGCCTGGAAGGCTTGCCTGGGAGCTCATCCAGCTGAGCTCTTTCCATCAACACAGGAGCTCATGGGGGCCCCTCTCAGTTCTGGGACTCTGTTCTGGGTGAGGCAGGGTGAGGGAGACTGGGTAGCTGGTCTTTCTCCCTTCCTCCACCCCTGGCTAGCAGCCTCACTGGGGCTCAACTCCTA